TTTGAGACTTTAGTCTTTGCAACTTTACAGATCTTCTTTATGCACCAAGAGCTTGTAACACTCCAAAGAGAAAGAGAAAATCGCATCATATGACCCCTTTAAATCTGAGTAGTATGGCCTGGTCATGAGACAAGGAAAGGAGAGACTCAGTGTCCTCAAGAAGTCCTGGTAGGGTATGTGGGTGATGTTTGGGGTCGTAGGTTAATGACAGTCAGGCACTAAATGCTCAGCAGGTTCATGCTGGTTCGGGGTTTGAGGTCAGACCAGTATAATTCAGATTTGTAAGCGGGTCTTTGAGTCTGTACGAATTTAAGATGCAAGGCCAGCCTAATTTGATCACTGGAGCTGATCGGCCAGTTTGAACCCACTGAACCTGCGGCGCATGGCCTGTCTGCCCCCGGGAATGTGTCTTACCTTGTTTAGCTCATCAGCTAACATTGAAAGACCTCGCTTGGGCCAGTTTGAAACTTAGGCTAGCATTGCTATTTCTCATAAATGGTGTTTCTTAGGTTTAACAAATGATCAAAATAGTAAAGGGGTCATATGACGTTGCTAAAAAAGAACATTATGTTGTGTATTTGGTGTAATGAAATGTGTTTATGCAGTTTAAGGTTCAAAAAACACATTATTTTCCACATACTGTACATTATTGTTTCTCCTCTATGCCCCACCTTTCTGAAACGCGTAGATTTTTACAAAGCTCATCGGTCTGAAAAGCGAAGTGTGCTCTGATTGGCCAGCTATCCAGTGCGTTGTGATTGGCTAAATACCTCAAGTGTGTGACGGAAATGTTACGCCCCTTACCATACTGTGATGCCGTGTCCCGACGCGACGAGACAAAAACAATAAAACCTGTTATAAACGAGGCATTTGTTGCATCCAGTGGGGACATAATTACTGATTATAATGACTTGTACTGTCTTTTTACGCGTTGCGTTGCATCGCGCTGCGTAAACATAAAACCATGTCTGCATTTGTAATCGTAGAAACGACAAACAACAAGCCCTACTCTACACTGCCAAAAAA